TCTATAGCGTTCTTGACCCCGTTGAGAGTCGGTAAACTAACGGAAGACCAACTAACTGAAGTTTCCGCAACGTGAGAGAGTGCCTCCGCATGCGGTCCTCTGTCCGTAAAAGGAAGTACTGTTGCAGATCCGACCCCAGGATCTCAGGATCTTCCTCAGACAGATGAAATGTTCCCTCAGGTGCCGATACGCAACTGGAAACAGAATTGTAGCCTTCATAGCTGGTCCCGCGTAGTTCAACATCGAGTATAGTGGCAGCACGTTGTACACGCTCCAAGTTAGCCAGTACACCGGCCGTGCAGCAGTATGTCACCGCACTACCATACTCAAGTCTTGGTCTAAGTTGGGAAGCGTACAACAGTCTGAAAGTGTCCATCGTGAACCGGTTGAAAGATCGTCGAATATGCCCTAGAATTCTCCACGCGCTGGTGCAGACCGGATCGGTGTTTTTTCGGGTCTTGAGTGATGGTGTAAACGTAACTCCCAGGTCTCTTTCGCACGATGTTCTGCGCAATGTGGTTCCCTGGAAGTTGTAGACTACATCTGAGTCAGCACGTCTCAAGTGCAGGTGAGCACATTCTGCGGTGTTGACTGGAAAAGCCTAGGTGGCCGCCCACTGCGCCAAGTTGTTCAAATCCACTTGAAAGGAACTTCGATCATTCGGATCCTCGATTATACTCCAGATTTTCATGTCATCCGCATACATGAGGGATGGGTTGCACAGTTGACCGGGCAGGTCGTTCAAATCAACTACAAAGAGCAATGGACCAAGAGCCTAGCCTTAGGGGACCCCCTGAGCGCGGAATACCACGCGGACAGCGATTTGCCAACACAGACGCAGAATTTCCGGTCGATGATGAAGTCTCGCAGCCAGTTCAGTATGACCACACCTACGCCCATGTTGGGCAGTTTTCGCAGAAGGCGGTCGTACAGTCCCTTGTAGAAGGCCTTGCTGAATTCCACGAATATGATATCCGTTTCGAGTCCTTTGGATTTGTCCTCGGTTCAGCATTCACGGGCCAGTTGCAGGTTTGAAAGGCACGAGCGACCCGGCCGGAAACCATGATGCTGGTGGCACAGGTGACCGTAACACACCAAATGCTGCCGAAGCCGTGCAGCCGCCAGTCGCTCCATTACTTTACCCGCAACATTAGTGAGGCTGACTGGTCAGTAGTTTCCAGGGTCACTCCTATTCGCACCTTTGGACAGTGGAACAATGAGAGCATTCTTCCACTGCCGCGGTAAATGCCTTTGTGTGAGTGACAAATTGAACAGATTGCACAGTGGCACCGGAAGTTCATCTGCCAGCTCCCTGAGGATAAGCGGATGCACATCATCAGGTCCGGTGACTAGTGAACCTTTAGTCGACGCAGCTCCAGGGCCACCCCTCCGATGGTAAATGGGGCCCATTTCAGCGCAGTGTCAGTGTCCAGTAGATGTGCCAGTGTACTGGATGCTGGGGTGTACACTGAGGCATAATGTGATGCCAGCATCTCCGCTTTGTTCTCATCTTTTTCGGCTAGTGCCCCATCTTTGGCGAGAGTCGGGAGACCAGGCGTTGTTCTGATTCTTCGCCTGAGGTAGGCATACGATTGCTTTGGTGCCTGTACCGAATCCGCTGCTAGTCGTTCCTCAAATCTGGTTCTCTTGCATATTTTCAGTGCAGTACAATAATTCCGAGTACCTCGATACACCTCATATCCTGCGTCTGTTGCACGGTACCGGGACCAGGCTTTATTCCGCTGCCGGAGGCGCGGCCGCAGTTCTTGATCAAACCACGACGGGTCCATAGCGTGTGTTTAGTGTGGTGGGGTGGAGATAATTCCAGCACGAGGTGATGAATTTCATAAAGAACCAACTCCCAGGATTCATCCACATCCTCAGGATTTCGGGAATTCTAATTTATGAGGGATGCAGCCTGAAGCGTTTCCTGAAAGGATGAGCGCCACACATTCCGTCCGTCCTGTGTTTTGTCCGTTTGTAGTACGCCACGCCTCCAGTGTATACACAGAACGGAGTGATCATTAGATGCAATTGATGGAAGAAGATCAGTCCTGGGCGTATCTGATTGCCTCGGTAAATAACCAAGTCAAAGATGAATTTTTGACCCCCAACTATCCGCATGGGCACATGAAAATGCTGAACAAGTGAGAGAGCTCGGATAGCGAAAAAAGTTCTGCTGAAAATAAATCCGCATGCTGAGAGCAGATGTCAGTTTCCCGATCACTATATGGCGCATTGAAATCAAGAAAATGTCCATCACAAGCGTACCTCTGTATGCCGGCCAACAGCTCCGAGACGTACACAGCCGGTGTGCGGTAGATCACTCCAACTATCGTATATCCTCTGGCACAAACCTTGATTCTGCACAACAGGGCTTCTCCAAATCCTTCCGGATGGGCGTAGTTCTCCAGCATTCGAACAGGGAGACCCGAACGGTCAAAAAGAATAACCCCACCACCTCGACGTGACGATGGTCGATCCGTTTGTAACACTGTGTGGAGTGCTATTTCGGATTACCAGACATCCGGTGTCAGCCAGATCTCAGTGAGTGCAAAACGATCGGAATTGTGTGATAGAACCCAGTCCTTCAACTCATCCCTTTTTCCCAGCATCCCTCAGATATTGGTTGAGGCTAGCACAGCGTGATTACCTCGCAATTTGCTCCTCAACCTAATCCCCCCGTCCGTGAATAAACAGTTTCCTGGGTCTTCCCCCGATCAAGGGTAACCAACGCAACTGAGGGCGCTTCTGACGCACACAAAAATCCCCGATCAGTTTCCCCTTTAATACGGCACTTCCTAAGTTCTTCAAATGCAGTTTTCAGTTTACTGCGCCGGTCCGGATCAAGATCCCTTAGGAACCGCACCAGAGTTCCCTTCAGCTTGTGAGTTTACTGGAGTATCGCTTTTGCCTCGTCTTCTGCCAGAAGAACTACTTTCTGTGGCCGTGAAGAATTATCTTGTAGGGGTTTTCTAATCCCGAATGCCGCTTTTACTCTGATTGATGCTGCTGGTTCTAACTCGTCACCGTTAAACAAGGTAACCATGTGCTACCTCAGCGGCTGCAGGTCGTGGTCCAAGAAGGCCTGGACGGGGGAGTGGAAGTGACAACTGTTTAAGAAGGGGCCACTTTCACCGCAGTAGCCGGCGTTATTGGGACTAGAGAGTTTTTTGGAAGTGAATGTTCGCCCTCCTTGGAAGAAATAATCATGCACCTGCAGCACACGATCTTCAGGAATGGAGAGAGGCAGTTTTCTAGCCACCCGTATTTGTCCGCGTCGATTTGGGTGCATTTCAGGAGCAGCCATCCACCACACTCATTACAACGGAGCACTTCAGTCATAGAGCCCACAATACTGGAGTAGTTTACAAACGTGATCTTGGAAGCCTCGCTTTTTTTGAGGCATTTCTGATTGAATAAATCTAGTTGAATGAATAAAACCACAATAGAATAGTCCAATTTAGCACACGGTGGAAAAACCGGTATACCGCAATCAAGGTCAACCCGGAATGAATACCAAAAGTAGACGATGACACACTGATTCAAATGTTTTACTAAAGTCGAGATAGCACACTTCTACTTTCTCTTCCTTATTCAGTCTCGCTGTGACTTCACCTAAAAAGTGCAAAAGAATAGTGAGACAAGATTGAGCGTTCAGGAATCCATGCTGTGTCTCAATCAGCAGGCGGTGTTGAGTGCGGTAGTCGGCTAATTAGGTTTTTATGATTCTATCTATGGCTTTACAAAAGATGCTTGTGAGACTTGCTTGAAGTCTTAAAGTATTACACAGGTGCGAGGATAAGCCCAAGTTTTCTTCTGGACTTACATTCCGATTTGTCGGTTTCAAGTCTTCAACTAATAGGACCCTTTGGGACTTTGAAATAAACGCCTGCATGACCTCAAGCAGTTCTTTGTCCTCACAATGATTCTTGTGGTGCTCTGTAAACACAGTGTACCTAATGGTCTCCTATATAAGGGCACGTTACATGCTATTACCTGGATATTGGGTATGACTAAGGTGGCCAGTGCATTCCAGTGGATCATGTTAGTCTTAACCAAATTTCAACACTCCGTCCGTTTATCTACCATTTTCTCTATCTCGTTTGTAGACTGCATANCTCATTTTGCATCCATGTTTTTGCGATTGCTATGATCACCGAACCTTTGATTCGAGCCCCTAGTTCGCCCCACTTAGCTTTAACACAACAGGCTTTTGTGAAATACATGGTGGCCTCAATCTGTTTATCATATTTGGATACTCTTATTCCCGGCGATTCCTCGGGCACAGGGCCCGAAGTGTGAAAGTTGAGTAATCCTGTAGCGATTTGGTAAACTCCATGTAAGTTTCTTAAGTATTGTTTGAATCGTAGTGCCATATAGCACACATTTTATCGAATGTTTTTGAAAATCCTTCCAAACCCACGATGATTCTACGTGGAATAACTCTATCCGTGTGTTGCTTCTCTATTGACCTTTCTCAATCACAAACACCATACATTATTTTTTATCTATCGATTCGATTCGGCACATTTGAATTTGGCATGGTCAGAGAACGTGAGCGACTTGAGTGCTTTTGGCCACAAATTTGAGGTTTGCTTTATTGCACATTTTATAGTGATTTCCTTAATTCAGTGTCGTAGAACACAACGAATCCACCCTATTTTGTTTTCGGCTTGGTATCGATTTTGGCTACGCGTCACTCAAATGTGATTTGGTGGAGGTGCAGTACTCAAATTGGAATCAAACGAGAAAGCTATTTTGAAGATGCCTAGACGAGCAAGCAAGGAAACTGGAACCCAACAGGAAGTAACCGGGTAAGTCACTGGGGGGAACTGTGGGTCATTTTGATTCTTTAGAAAATGTTAGGTCAGTTAGTCCTGCCAGTGCTGTTTCATGTGTAGATTCATATATTAGGGATATTGATATATTTAGATTGCGGGTTTCTGAATTATAGCATGAGTTGAGATTAGCTAGGCAGCAGATAGAACAGGCCAAACGTGAAAAAACCATTTCAACGGCACAACAACACCTCGAGCTGAGACTTCACATAGTTACCTTTCTCCGAATAAAGAATCCGTCCCGAAGCAAAGAACGTTCGCTCATGTGAACGTTGATTTACCAACAGTCAAAATGATACCTTTCAACGTCAATCCCGAACAATATTGCCAATTTATTCGACAATACGAAAATTTCGTTGAATGCAAAACCGACGATGCAGAGCAAAGGTTTCTGTTTTTCCTGCACTACTGTCGGGGGAAGGCCAAAGAAGCTATACAATGGTGTGTAATGCTGGACCGGGAAAAAAGCTGCCCGAGAGCAAGAAATATGGCGAAAGAGATGTTTGGCCAACGATTCCGGGTGACAAGAAACATG